AATATTCACCAAGGAGACCCAATTTTTCATGAAAATGCGGGAAAACAGTGTACATGCAATTGTTTAATCTTTCTGATATTTGCTTATACCACTCATTTGCAAAATGTTAATGCAAGATCCTTGGATAACATACTTAAAGAGGGGTCCTCTTTATACAGTAAAACTTCAAAAATGCATGGACAGGAGTACATAATGGTTAAAGAGCTTGAGGGGACATCATTATTCCAGAAGCAATATTACCAGACAACCATCCTCTCTGAACACACAGGACTGTGCAGTTCAAATGAAGAATTTAAAAATGCAATAGATATTGCATTTGGCATTTCTTCATATATATTTCTTTTATTTGGGGATGTTCACAGTGTATCATATACCAGTGCCATATATCATGCAGGAAATAGCACAATTTATGCATTTGATCCCCATTCAAGAAATCAGAGAGGCCTTCCCTCACCTAATGGAGCTGCAGTCCTTCTTCGTTATAACAATTACCATTCCCTTCATCACTATTTATCTGACTTAGCCAAAGCAGTTGGTGCTAAATATTATGAGATTGTAGCAGTTAGCATTGACATCACCACTCAAAGTCATCACCGGAAATATTATTCCAAATGTGTTAAAAGGAAGCAAAGACAAAATCAAACAGAGAATGAGAAGAGTGAAATAAATGAAAAAGAGACCAGAAAAAGAAAGATGAGACAATTGTCATTAAGTGATCAAAATTATCATCTGTTGAAGAATAAAGAGGCAACAAACAAGAGAGAAAAAAGAAGAAAATTAGATGAAGATGCAATCAGAAAAGTCAGAGAAAAAGAGAAATGTAAGCAAAAGAAAAGGAGAGAGAAACTCAGTGTCTTGAAACAGAGTTTTGTTAAACAAAAGGATACAACCTCCAAAAGACATAAAAGGCAAACAATGAGCAAAGAAGATCTTGATAGAATCAAACAAAAGGAGACGAGCTCCAGAAAAAAGATTAGGCAGGGATTGAACCAAAAAGATTCTGACCAAATTAGACAGAGAGATACAAGGTCCAGAAGAGAGAAGCGACAAGATTTCAGTGAAGAAGTTCGCACCAACATTAGAGAGAAAGACACAAGCTCTAGAAGAGAGAAGAGACGAGACTTGAGTGAAGAAGGTCGCAGCAACATAAGACAGAAAGACAGTTCCCTAACAAAAAAATACTATAGTTAACTATAGTTAACTATAGTTAACTATAGTTTACTATAGTAAATCAAAGTGTCAAAGTTTTCGCCAAAGTTTTTCAAAGTGTCAAAGTTTTCGCCAAAGTTTTTCAAAGTGTCAAAGTTTTCGCCAAAGTTTTTCAAAGTGTCAAAGTTTTCGCCAAAGTTTTTCAAAGTGTCAAAGTTTTCGCCAAAGTTTTTCAAAGTGTCAAAGTTTTCGCCAAAGTTTTTCAAAGTGTCAAACGTTTCGTCAAAGTTTTTCAAAGTGTCAAAGTTTTCGCCAAAGTTTTTCAAAGTGTCAAAGTTTTCGTCAAAGTTTTTCAAAGTGTCAAAGTTTTCGCCAAAGTTTTTCAAAGTGTCAAAGTTTTCGCCAAAGTTTTTCAAAGTGTCAAAGTTTTCATCAAAGTTTTTCAAAGTGTCAAAGTTTTCGCCAAAGTTTTTCAAAGTGTCAAAGTTTTCGCAAAAGTTTTTCAAAGTGTCAAAGTTTTCGCCAAAGCTTTTCAAAGAGTCAAAGTTTTAGATAAAATTTTTCAAAGTATCAAAGTTTTCGATAAAGAAAGTATCAAGTTTTAGTTAAAGTTTTACAAAGTATCAAATAATAATGTTTTTCAAAGAGTTTTCGAGAAAGTGTCAAAGTTTTCAATAAACTTTTTCAAAGTTTTAAAGCATCCAAGTTTTCGATAAAGTTTTCGATAAAGTTTTCAAAGTATCCAAGTTTTTCGTTTAAGTTTTTCAAAGTATCAAAGTTTTCAATAAAGTTTTTTAAAGTATCAAAGTTTATGATAAAGTTTTTCAAAGTGTCAAAGTTTTCGCCAAAGTTTTTCAAAGTGTCAAAGTTTTCATCAAAGTTTTTCAAAGTGTCAAAGTTTTCACCAAAGTTTTTCAAAGTGTCAAAGTCTTCGCCAAAGCTTTTCAAAGTGTCAAAGTTTTAGATAAAGTTTTTCAAAGTATTTTCGATAAAGTTTTTCAAAGTATCAAAGTTTTCGATAAAGTTTTACAAAGTATCAAAATCTTCTATAATGTTTTTGAAAGTGTCAAAGTTTTCGATAAAGTTTTTTTAAGTGTCAAAGTTTTCAATAAACTTTTTCAAAGTTTTAAAGCAACATAAAGAGAGAAAAAGATCACAGGTTTTTAAAGTATGAAAGTTTATGATAAAGTTTTTCTAAGTATAAAACTTTTCGATAAAATTTTTCAAAGTGTCGAAGCTTTTGCCAATTTTTTTCAAAGTGTCAAAGTTTTCGTCAAAGTTTTTCAAAGTGTCAAAGTTTTCGTCAAAGTTTTTCAAAGTGTCAAAGTTTTCGCCAAAGTTTTTCAAAGTGTCAAAGTTTTCGCTAAAGTTTTTCAAAGTGTCAAAGTTTTCGCCAAAGTTTTTCAAAGTGTCAAAGTTTTCGTCAAAGTTTTTCAAAGTGTCAAAGTTTTCGCCAAAGTTTTTCAAAGTGTCAAAGTTTTCGCCAAAGTTTTTCAAAGTGTCAAAGTTTTCGTCAAAGTTTTTCAAAGTGTCAAAGTTATCACTATAGTAAATCAAAGTTTTCAAAGTGTCAAAGTTATCACTATAGTTAACTATAGTTAACTATAGTATTTTTTTTGTTAGGGTTTGTAGAAGAGAGAAGCGACAAGAGTTGAGTGAAGAACTTCGCACCAACATTAGAGAGAAAGACACAAGCTCTAGAAGAGAGAAGAGACGAGACTTGAGTGAAGAAGGTCGCAGCAACATAAGACAGAAAGACACAGTTTGTAGAAGAGAGAAGCGACAAGAGCTGAGTGAAGAATATCGCAACAACATTAGAGAAAAAGACACAAGCTCTAGAAAAGAAAAGCGACAAGATTTCAGTGAAGAATTTCGCAACAAGATCAGACAGAAAGATGCAAGTTCCAGAAGAGAAAAACGGCAAAACTTAAGTGAAGAAGGTCGCAGCAACATAAGACAGAAAGAAACAAGCTTTAGAAGGGAGAAGCGGCAAGACTTAAGTGAAGAATCTTTAAACTCTCTTCGACAAAAAGATGCTGAAAGAAAAACGAATAAACGTAGAGCAGCTGCATCAGACTTTGAACTCAAATTTAGAATGTCCATTAAGGAATTTCCTGAGTTTATTTGCTGCTCTTGTCATAAAATGTGTTACAGGAGTCTTGTACAGCTTTTGTCTGAAGAAAAGTATATAAATACTGAAAGTCAGCTACTGGATAAATGTCTAACAGGAAAGCACTCACTTGATGGAAAGAGGTATATTTGTAATGGATGTCATGCAGTATTGATGAAAGACAAAATGCCAGCCACTGCAGTAGCAAATAATTTAATCACAGAGGAAATCCCTGATGAATTGAGGGATTTAAGAGAGTTAGAGTGCATCCTTATTTCACAAAGGATCATATTCTTCAAAATGATGAACCTTCCTAGAGGAGGACAGAAAGGCATGATTGGTTCTTTTGTAAATATTCCTGTTGATACTGAGAGTGTGTGTTCATCACTTCCTAGGACTCCTGAGGAATCTGGAATCATTCCTTTAAAACTGAAAAGGAAACTAGCCTACAAAGGACACCACTTACACCAAAACATACGTCCTGACTGTGTTATGAAGGCTCTTGTCTGGCTTATACAAAACAATCCCCTGTACAGTAACATTTGTATCACAGATGAATGGGTACAACAGTGTCAGGAGGACGAAGACGTGTGGAACAGTTTATTCACAGAAAATATAGGCAATGAAGAAGGACAGAATTGTCAAGAAAGTCTTTGCAGCACTTTACCGAATTCTCACGATGAGGATGAAGAAGAAGTGCATGAAGTTATTTCAGAAGACTTAGAATGTCCCAGAAGAAATGACGATATAGATGAAAATGGTTCAGACATTCAGGAGAGAGTCCGAGGAGTACAGTTTGATACTTGTTTACATCCAAGTAATTTTACGCATTCAGCAGAGAAGGAATACTGTATTGCACCTGGTGAGGGAAAACGTCCCTTGGATCCTTTTCTTGACACAAAATGTGAAGCCTTGGCCTTTCCACATTTATTTCCTACTGGGAAATCTACATTTTTTGAAGATGATAATGGAAATTCCAGAAATGTTGCACTAACTGCCAAGAAGTACTTCATACAAAGAATAATGAACACAGACAGTAGATTTGCATCTTCAATTCCATATCTGTTTTATGCTCTAAATGTCTGTGAAAAACAACAAGTACGGAATTCACTCAATATTGCATTGCGAAAAGCGAGACGAATGGACATATCTGTTGGTGAATTGAGGAATCCTACAAGAATACATGAGATATTTGTCAAGGACCAAGCTTTCCAGTTTCTTCAACAAGTACGAGGCTCACCATCATACTGGCAGCGTGCACAGTATGAACTTTTAGCAATGGTTCGTGCAAAGGGTGTCTTCACTTGGTTTCTTACATTGTCTTGTGCAGATCTACAGTGGCCAGAAACAATCCAAGCTATTGCTTTACAGCATGGGCACAAGTTTAGTGAAGAAGATATTGAAAATATGTCCTATGAGGAAAAGTGCAAATGGTTGCGACAAAACCCAGTTATGGCAGCTAGACAGTTTGACCACAGATTACAGTCATTTTTTCGAGATGTTATCCAGTCAACAGCAGCTCCACTTGGCAAAGTAACACACTTTTGTCAAAGAACTGAGTTCCAGCTTCGTGGATCACCCCACTGTCATGCAGTCTTATGGGTGGAAAATGCTCCAGATTTGAAAACATCTTCTGAAGATGAAATATGTAACTGGATTGACAGTTATATCACCTGTGAAATCCCCCCTCCAGATGATCCGTTACATGATGAGGTACTGAGTAAACAGCAGCACACTCATTCTGTTGCCTGCAGGAAACATGGCACTTCATGCAGATTTCATTATCCAAAACCACCAAGTGACAAAACTTTATTGTCAAATCCTGAAGCTGATGCTTCCATCGTCCATTTTTCAGCTGAAGCTGCAAAAGAAGTTTTATCAAAAGTCAATGATGTCCTGACTGATGATACAGTTAAAATCTCAGAATTGTCTCTTCAACAAGTCCTGAGCATTGATGGAGTATCAGAAGAAAATTATTACAATGCCCTCAAATACTCGAAAGCAGGAAAATCTGTTGTACTAAGAAGAAAACCAAGCAGTCTGAACATAAACTGTTATAACAGAGACATTCTACAAGTTTGGAAGGCAAACATGGACTTGCAGTTTGTGTGTGATCCATATGCATGCATAACTTACATAGCATCTTATGTAACCAAAGATGAACGAGAACTGTCACAGATGTTAAAAGAGGCGGCAAAAGAATTAAAGGACGCAGATATAAAGTCTAGACTGCAAAAAATTGGAAGTGTCTATCTCAGCAATCGGGAAATAAGTGCTCAAGAAGCTGCTTATAGGCTACTGAGTATACCTTTAAAGAGATGCAGTTCAAAAATGGTATGGATACCAACAGATCTTCCCGATGAGAGAATTGGTATTTTAAAACCTCAGTCCTTGCTGGATGAACTTGACGATGATGACACAGATATATATGCCTTAGGTATTGTAGAAAAATACCAAAAAAGACCAGAGAGTCCACTCCTAAATGAACTTTGTCTTTGGGAATTTGCTGCCTGGTATGGTCCTTCATCTCAGTCAAAAGACAGTGATCTTGATTGTGCGCACGACATTAATACCCTTCCGAAAGTAATCAAGCTCAAGGATGGTAGAGGCATAATGAAAAAATACCAGAAACCTGCTATTCCACGATATCATATGTTTTCCGTAAATAAGGAGAGTGAAAAATTTTATCACCAGCAACTTATGCTGTTTATTCCATGGCGAGATGAAGCAACAGACTTGAAGGATAATGATAGTGAGTTTCCCTTTCAGGGAATGTTTGAAATAAGAAGAGATGAAATACTTCAAACTAAAGCCCGCCTTGAGCATCACAGTGATCTGGTGGAAAATGCTTTGAGAAACTTTGGTGTTAATGGACCTCCTCAACATGCTTGGGATTGCCTTAATCCTGAGGCTGAGCAATCCAGAGCTGATGAAGCAAGGCTTATGCAGGAAGAAGAAACAAGGGAGGCAAATGCAGTTGAAGTTGCGAGAAGACCCCTAACACTGGCTGTCACAACCAAACCTAATGCTCTCAAGGATGAGCAGCTGAGAGAGATCATCCACAGTCTTAACACAAAACAACGACAAGTGTTCACACAAATTATTAGCTGGTGTAAAGACACTATTGCTGCAAAAAATAGAGAGAAAATGCCTCCACCATTTTATCTTTTTGTTACAGGAGGTGCTGGAACTGGAAAAAGTCAAGTCATTAAAGCTATATATCACCAAGCTTCTAGAATTTTGCAGCAACCTGGTGATAATCCTGATTATCCATCAATACTCCTTACCAGCCCAACAGGAACAGCCTCTTACAATATTGGTGGAACTACCCTTCATGCAGCCCTCCACCTTCCTAAAGGAAGATATTATTCTCTGAGATCAAATCCCTCTATGTTAGCAACATTTAGACTCAGTATGTCGCAACTAAAAATTCTGGTAATTGATGAAGTATCTATGGTTGGAAGGTCCATGTTTGCTCACATTCATCGCAGATTACAGGAGGCAAAAGGAGTAGAAAACACAGGTGCTTTATTTGGAGGGGTTAGCATTCTGGCAGTAGGAGACTTTTATCAACTCCCACCAGTCCACCAACACAAGATCTTTGATTTTGAGGCACTGAACCCCAACAGTATGGATCCAGAGGAGCTTGCTATCATTTTGGCAGGACTTTGGGAGAGAAATTTTGGTATGATAGAGCTAGATGAGATCATGCGACAAAGAGAGGACCGGATATTTGCAGAGATGCTGAATCGACTACGTACTGCTACACATACAGAAGATGATGTATGCACTCTCAAATCTCCAATAATTTCTCCCGTCAGCCCAAATTATCCTCATGATGCTCTACACATCTTTGCAACAAGAAATGATGTCGACCATCACAATACCCAAATGTTAAGCAAGCAAACAGAAGAAAAGATTGAGATTTCATCAATTAACAAGATTCCAAATGTTGTCAAAAATTTTGACATTTCACAAGTGGTTGGAGGTTTGCCATATACTCTTACATTGTGTAAAAATGCCAGAATAATGCTGATTAAGAATCTTGATGTGTCTGATGGTTTAGTAAATGGAGCAACAGGCAGAATCTTGGACATAATACACAGTGAATCTTCATCATCTTTTCCCAAAGCTATTGTCATTCAGTTTGATAATAGAAAAATTGGTCGAATAGCTAGACAGTCTTCAAAAATTTCTCTACAAGGCTATGAATGCGGTGTCCCTATTCTTCCAGCTGAAGTAAAACAAAATGCTGGACGGTCAGACTCATCCCCAGAAATAACAAGAATACAATTCCCAGTTGTTCTTTGTTGGGCCTGTACAATACATAAAGTGCAAGGAGCTACTTTAGACAAAGTTGTCACATCATTCAAAAAACTTCGAAGTAAAGGACAGGCATATGTCGCTGTTAGCCGTGCTACATCACTGCAAGGGCTTTTCTTACTTGACTTTAAGCCAGAATTAATAAAAGCAGATGACACGGTTTCAAAGGAAATGAATAGGCTTGATGAACATACTTCATCCACAACTGAAGAATATCAGCAACTCTCTGGTCCATTACCCGATATTGTACGTGTGTGTTTTTTTAATGTACAGTCACTTTGGACTACACACAGAAGAGATGTTGAAAATGACCCGTACATAAACACAGCTTCCATCTTGGCATTATCAGAAACTTGGCAGCCCAGCATTCAGTGCAGTTTAAAGGGATATGATTACAGCATCGGCAGGGGAAGATCATCAGAAAATGGTGGAGGTGTTGCCTTATTTAGTAAAAATTACCCTTTAAAAGAACTGGACTTGCTGATCACAAACTGCAACATCGATGCCATAGCAGCTCAAATTCCCTTAAGTAATGACAACAGCTATATAACACTTTTACTTCTATACTGTCCACCTCGCACCACTGTCTCTCTTATATCCTGCTGCATAAAAGACTTCATTCAAAGCCATAGAGGGGAGCAAATAATCATTGGAGGAGATTTTAACATCAATCTGAACAAGACTTACAATTCCGTTGCAAAATTGTTACAAGAAGAAGGGTTTGTTCAAGTTTCCAAAGGCCCCACACACCAAAGTGGATCCCACATAGACCATATTTGGACAAATTTGCATCCATTACCAACAACCTTTGGGATATGGACATATTATAGTGACCATAAACAAATCTTTATTGACATTAAAAGATTCTAAATTTGCAAAAGTGTGTGTACATGGTTAATGAGTGTGTGTATATATACATGTATATATAATGTTCATAATCTAATTTGATCTTTAAATTTGTACCTTTTTTGCTTAATTCCTTATTATATTGCATCATTTAAGAAAATGTTGATCACTGATGGCAGCTGTATTTAATGCATATATATAAAGGTAAACATTTTAACAAATATTACTTTTATTTTTACATTATCCCATGTTAACTCCTTTATCCAATGCTTATGACAGACATTTGGCCAAATAAAATTAATCAATAGTTTCTCAGGTCAAAAAATCAGAACTCAATGCGGCAGGCAGTTTTTTGTTGTTTTTTTTAGCAGATTTAACGCCTTTTCAACATGTTTAATTAAGGCATTTGTTCAATAAATTAGTTGTAATATGTACTCAACTTTAAATAATGTTACTCCAAACATTTATTTAAAAGTTAATTTATAAAATACTAAAATTTTTAAAGAAATGTATTGTTTTTCTAATAAAAACGTATGAAAAGAGAAATAACTCGATTTTCTTTTCTTTTATCAGCTTGGAAAATTATAGAAAATTGAGATTTCCTTTTTCAATATGTCAATAAAAAAATCAATGCGGCCATTTTTAACTGATGCGACGGTGCCTGAGAAACTATTGATTAATTATTTTTTGGCTTTGGCTATTTCTTTTCTTTTTTTGATATCCATAGTTGTGATGTCAAATGGATTTTGCATTAGACTGATGAAGTAAAATGAAGTGGTCCTATATAAAACAGTGTAAACATTGATAATGGTGTATAAACATGGGATAAATTTTAAGAATCCAACTTGTGTGTTTTATCCCCTCGCCAAGGCTCAGGGAATCGAAATACACAACGAGTTGGATAAAAATTATATCCAACTACAAATCATGTGAGATCCTATATATAGCAGTTCCTAACATTTTATGGACAATATATTTTTCATCGTCATTGTTAACATAAAGAGGATGGTATTCAAAGTTTTTTTCTTCTCTATATTCATTATCATAACGGGGCCCTTGCTGACTGGTCAGTTTTCTAGTTTCTCCCGGATTGGTCTCCGCAACACTAACTTTTTATTTTATCAAAAATACAATAAAATCGGCAATGCGGCTACCTCAAAACTGATGCGCGCGGGCCTGAGAACCAAGATTTCAATTTTATATGGCCTAATAAGAAGAAATCGCTATAAGGTCTTCCGGGAAGACGGAAGACCTTAAATATAAAAATAATCTTTGTCTTCTACATGTATGATCTTTTGCGTCCTTAAATTATAAGCTAAATCTTATTGACGTGAACTTCAAACAATGTGCATTCGGGAGTTGAAATTAATTGATTTTTGGATCATATATTCACTCAGCTTTGAAAACAGCTCAGGTGGATTGAAAATGAATATCGATCTGCAATTTCAATCCGATGTTTTCCCCATGTCCGCGTCAAATTGTACCCGACCATTTCATTGTCTATCACCGAATGTTTTGATTGTAACAGATAGAAATGACGTAAGCTGTATATTTCCAATTTTGCCAGTTAATGTTCCGCGGTCTTAATACAATCCTTGAAATCTACAAGTGGAAGTTTCGTTTCTGTTATTCCCTGCTATATTAAGTCCCTCAAACACTTTTCCAGCATCAAAGTCATGCCATCCATAATAACAAGGTGTGCAAATGATGTACTGCATTTTGCAATGAACTTATTATTGGAATAATTTATGTCCTGAATATTGACATTGATATATATATATTCATGACCTGTGCTTTTTCATGAGGAAAAAAATCTGTTGAAAACATTGGACACTGTAATTAGGGTGTCAGTTTGGTCAGTTTATTCCTCTGCCTGTCGGATATCCTTTGACCAAACTTTATTTTCTACCAACTAAGAGCATTCCGACTCTTATTCTACCCAGTGGGTGTCTTTGGGAAGAAGATGTGCAGTGACCTTCAACCAAGATCCTAGGCCTATGGTCAAGGTTATAGCCAATCTGTGTGTAAACATTGTAAAAGTATATTAGTACATTTCTTGTAATCAACTGACTCATTACATGTACGTCACAAAACACTTTTGGGTACTGGGTATACTGTGACATTGAACCAAGTTTCTAGGTCATAGGAAAAGGTAATGGCAAAAATCTCTCAAATCCTCTCGCAACCACAATGAGAGGAAAGACATTTATGTCCATGAGAAATTCTTTTATTTATAATACCGCATTGAAAAGTTTTTAATGCAGTTTGTTGTAATTACATTGTAGAAATGATCGTGCTAAATTGGTTAATAGTCTTATTTATTTTGCAGGTTTCATTTACTCTCCTGAAAATCAAACCAGAGAGCTATGAAAAAATAAAAAGAAGAAACAAATCTGGATGTGTGAAATTTGATGCAACAAAGGATGAAGAACCAATCTTATTTTACACAGAGCAGTTCAATTTCTTGAACAATGAAGATCGTAAAATTATTTTCAAAGCATTGCTTACCATGAGAATGATGGACGTTAAATGTGGAGGCTACTAAATATTTTATGCATTACAAATGCTGAAGCCATTTTGTTTGAGCTGTTTGCATTTTTGGTTTACCAGAGTCACCAAGTAAGAGTATTGAAATTTCATTGTGTCATTGATGAATTTCTTCAGCTTATAAGTAATTAATATTGTCTGACATTGTGTAACGTCTATGATGAAAGAACACTTCTTGTAAAAAAAATTATCCTCTATTTAGGGGCATTGAATATTTAGTAAAAAGTTGAATTGTTTTATGTCTTCTTTCTCTCCCAAACAAACTCAATGGCATATGATTATTGAACTTTACATGTGGAAACTCTTTATATTGTCTTGTGTCATTGTTTACATTAATCAATTGAAATGTACGGAGTGTTTTAAAATTTTTCACACGGAATAATGAATTTTAAATTCCTAAGTTAAAGTGCTTAATGGAAGCTTTATTTCTTTAATGACTTAATTCTACATAATTTATCAAAAAAACATTACTATTTGAAGTTGATTTTTCAAATCATAAATAATAAAAAAAAAAACGTTATAACTATGTCCTTGGAATTCCCACTGGACACATTTTCAATGTTGTCAACTTAAGAAATGCAATAACAAAAATGAAGATTTTAATGATTTAAATGGTCCTTAAAACGCTTATCTGATATATACCTTTCCTAACATTCCCTTTCCAGATCAGTGATAAAAAGCAATAATTTACTGCTGAGCTAGGTATATCATGATCACTGGATTGGACTTGGATTTCCAAATAAGAAGCTGTCTGCATTTAAGCTTTTATTTTTATGCCCCCGGATCGAAAGATCGGATCGGGGGTATATTGTTTTTGTCCTGTCTGTCTGTCTGTTTGTCCCCAAACTTTATCCTAGCCCATAACTATTGAGTGGTTGGGGCTATGGCTTTCATAATTCATAGGTGTGTTACTTGTGACATGACCTTTCTTTGGGTACAACCAAATTTGACATCTTGACCTTGACCTTGGAGTTTGACCTACTTTTATTCTATTTGTTATCAACTTTAACCTTCGCCATAACTTTTGAACAGATCGAGATAGAGACTTCATATTTAAAATGCTTGCTCCACTAAATAAGCACTTTCAACGGACACCAAAGACAATGACCTTGACTGTGACCTATATGCTAAAAATAGATTTTTCGAACTTTCAGAAAAACTTTTGAACCATAGCAGATAGAGACTTTATATTTGGTATGCCTACTTCACTAATTAAGTGCTTTCAAATGACACCGAGGTCAATGACCTGGTGATCTTGACTGTAACATTTATGCTAAGAATAGCTTTTTCGAACTTTGTTGCCGCCGGGGGCACAGTGTTTCTCAAACACATCTTGTTTTTTCTACAGCACAGATTGTTTCATGAGGAAATATAACTTGAACTAAGCGATATATTTTTGTACTTTAAATTTTACTCTTAAGTCTTTGAATAGAGTGAATTGTCGAAATGATGCAGCAGTGGAAATATCTTGGCAATGTTCACAAAGTTATGTTTGATTACATATTTCAGTGGCTGAGCCTCGCAAATGATTGAACATAATATCTCTTACGTCTGTCTTGCTGTCCATCTGTTTGTCTGCCAAAATCTTTTACCTTGGTCAAAATTTTCGAATGAGAAGAGAAGGTCTAGAGTATTGAATTGCTGCAGAATATAAAGAATTTTAAAGGCATTTAAATCAAAATTATTGGTTTATATGTAATCCTGATACATATTTGAATTTAAATTTAATTGAATATTACTGATTTTACATTGGAAACTGTAATTTCGCCGTCAATTAAAAGTAAACATTTTAAGGATACACCAAAGGCTTTTTTTTCAAGATTTTTGACAATTTTGAGATTTTTGGTGAAGAAAACAATGCTCATCACTGCTTTATAATGTATGATTGATTGTATATTGTTTAACGCCAAATCGGCAATCTTTCAGCCATGTTTTGGCGGTATAATGTATGAAAAATTCTTGCTGATTATTAAGGTAGCTAAACACAGTTCCGTATGAAATTCAGGGGGTTTTTTTCCCAGAGAGATGCATGCTGGGTAGGGATTTTCCTGCTATTTATAGGAGTTTACTTGAAAACTACATTATTTTTGTTTTTATTCGCATAGAGTAGAGTCTTATTTTAATATTAAAAGAAAAAAAAATGTGCATTAATTTTTAGAAAAAAAATTGTGAGACTTTTTATTAGGGGGAGATAACTCCCAAAGCACCCGGTTTTCACATGTGCAGAATTGCATGAGTCAATTAGCAGGTAATGTAGCTCTTTCTAGAGGTGGAAAATGTACCCTGAAAACACAATAAAAAAAAACCCCTTTGGACTTGTTCTGTG